TACTGGTCGAAAACCTCATTATTAATGAAGTCACAGTTCCTTTGCCTTGAACTACTGTTCCCTTTTTTGGCCCAGCTGGCAGCTGCAGTCGTTGCAGGAATGCCTCCTTGTCCACAGAGGAGGTCAGGGTCAGGTTGGTGTCTCCATGTGGGACAATCAGCAAGCCATCTCCTCCCCAGTGGTATCTCACCAAATGTTCCCTCAACCGACCAGCTATTGGATTTAGGAGCCTCTTTTCCAGCAAGACAGGGAATGGTAGGTCACTCAATACTGCTACTGTGCAACCTTCAAATTGTGACTTCCCCTTGTCTCTGGAGCGGGCCAGGACGGCAGCACGAACCGCGACATCCCTAGTGACCCCTATTATGTCTGTCGGTGCTCCATTTGGTGCTGTCGCTGCTTTGCGGATCCGAAATGCATTTGATATCAGCGTGGGGTCAGTGCCCCCCTTGAGGCCCATGGAGGATGCTCTCCCTGGATTCCACCACCTGGACTTTCTGGCGGAGGACTCCCATCTTCTCATGTGTCTCTCTCAGGTCAGCCTTCCACACTTCCTTCAGGTCTGCCAGGAGTCTTTTAATGTCTCCTTTAGTGGAAGGAGAGGCGTCCTCGTCCGATTCAACCTCCTGGGAGTCCTCTCCCAGTGCTAGGGAGGTGAGTTCTTCCTCCTCTTTGTACGACTCCTCTGAGGCCTCATCCTCCTCCCGAGGTTCGGGCGCCATCTTAGGCAGCTCTGGCATAGTAGGCCTCTTAAAGGAAAGCCTGATATTGGGCATTCTAGTGCTCTCTCAGGGGGGTAAATGTGCGGTGCTTGCGCCCCATATTGATATCTGTTAGGGGGTGTCAAGTATGTGTCCCCCTAAAGCTCAAAAGGTTGTAGAATGCTCGAGTTTTAGTGTTTCTAGTGCAGAGCTCAATGGTAACACATCTGTGCTGTTGCTCTGTCAACCACGCCCCCTAATACTTTTCCTTTTAAAACTGAGAAAGATAAAAAAGAAAAAGTAAGTTTTATATCACCATTATGTTTTCCTATTTTTTCCCAACCATATCCCTCCCCCAACCCTTTCATCTTAAGCCATCTTTTTGCTGACTATATTTTGTTTTAATCACTTCTTCTTTTACTTATTTGAAAAGAGAGAGAGCATACCCAGCTCTTAACCCCTTAAGGACACATGACGGAAATATTCCATCATGATTCCCTTTTATTCCAGAAGTTGTGTCCTTAAGGGGTTAATGATGTTGTAACTATATTATGTATTCCATTGTTTGCACATTTTCTGTTACCATTTTACTATTTTTTATAGTGGGAGGTTGGAGCATACACAAAGAAAAAAAGTTTAAAAAAGTAAAAATTAGTGTTGCAACTTCCCACCATTTTATGTTGTGACTTGGAGGAGTGTTTGGCCAAATTGGTGTGACTTTATTTTAATGATTCCATTTTCTTTAGCAATATGTCCCAATCTTCTAGCTGGGTGTATTAGTTACCTAAATTCATTAGAATACCCTTTTCCATTTTTTCCTGCCATATAACTTGTAATATTACTTCTGGGATATCTAGAATTTTCACCGATTTCCAGTTTTGTGCTATAAATAATTTAGCCACTGTTATAATATGTATCGTTATCATTAATACTTTTTTTTTTTTTCTCATTTTTGGGCACTCCAAGTTTAGTAAAACCACTCCAGGCTCCAAAACTAATTTGTTTCCCGTTATTTGATAAACTAAATAAAAAATACATATATCTCTCCAATAATTATTTATGGGTTCAGATTGCCACCAAATTGTTCAGACTACCTTTATTGACATTACAACAACACCTGTCTGGTATCTCTGGGAATATTTTCCTTAAGAGTTTCGGTGTTAAATACCATCTATTTGAAAGTTTAGCTGTATTTCTGTGAAGTTTAAGAAGTGCATATATTTATATAATTTGTTTAGAGAGCTTATTCAATTCTCCTCTTCTATATGTACTTGTAACTCATTTTCCCATTTATTAATCAATCCAATAGTTTTATCATGTCTCCATTTATCAATAACTTTAGCCTTTAATTCTCAAACAATTAAATATCGCTTTAGATAGAATATCAAATTCTTCCATAATTTGTTGAAAGGGCTTGATTTTATGTTCCCCTAATATGTCTTTAAATTTACTTATCCCCATGCTCTTCCAGGCATCTATCTTTATATTGTCTAACATGTCTACTACTAGTAAATGGAAGTACATCAATTATTATATTTTTAAGTCCTATTCTAGTTATAAATGTGTCCCACCAGCTCATCAAATCTTTAAGTATCTGTGATTTACCCCTTGCCTCGCTGATGAAATCTTTGTTACGGTACAAGAACCAAAATAGTGAGGATAAGTTCCCTAAACCAGTTCTATCTTTTTCCATTGTGTAACATTTTTCCTGAACTGCCGGAGTATTTTGTGAAAGCATTATGTGAAGCAGTCTAATAGCAGTCTACTGCTGGGTGTGTAGAAAAGCATGTGTGCATCAATGAGTGTATTAAATGCAGCAATATTGCATTTTGGGTTAACGTTTACTTGCATGCAGTGATGCATTTGCATCACTTTCACTCTCTCCCTGTGACTGACAACTGTCTCACTATGCAACATGTCCTATCCAATGTCATGAGCCAACCCTTATATCCACATCCTCTCTCTCACATTTATCACTTCCAATCGGGACTCCCAAATCCCCCATTCTTTTAACCCCTTAAGGACTGAGCCAAATGTACACGTTGTGAACGAAACAAAAATGTAAACAAAACCTGGCATTTGCGCTACATGTCTGTCCAACCATAATTCACCTCTTTCATATTAAATGCACCCACCCTTATTATATATCATTTTATTCAGGGGAAACAGGGCTTTCATTTAATATCAAATATTTAGCTATGAAACATAATCTAATATGAAAATAATGGGAGAAAATAAATTCTTTTAGTTCTACATGACATTTTAACTGTCAATGTCATAATACTGTTTGCTTTTACTGCAATAAAATACACATATTTGTATTCAGCAGAGTCTCACGTGTAAAATAGTACCCCCTATGTACAGGTTTTATGGCGTTTTGTGAAGTTACAGGGTCAAATATAGCACGTTACATTTGAAATTGAAATTCGCCAGATTGGTTACGTTGCCTTTGGGACTTTATAGTAGCCCAGGAATGAAATCTACACCCATAATGGCATACCATTTGCAATAGTAGACAACCCAAGGTATTGCAAATGGGGTATGTCCAGTCTTTTTTAGTAGCCATTTGGTCACAAACACTGGCCAAAGCTAGCGTTAGTATTTGTTTGTGTGTGAAAAATGCAAAAAACGCCAATTTTGGCCAGTGTTTTTGACTAAGTGGCTACTAAAAAAGACTGGACATACCCAGTTTGCAATACCTTGGGTTGTCTACTATTGCAAATGGTATGCCATCATAGGGGTAATTTTAATTCTTGGGCTACCATAGGGTCTCAAAGGCAACGTAACCAATCTGGCGAATTTTAATGTGAAAAAAATGAAACGCAAGCCTTATATTTGACGCTGTAACTTTTGAAAACACCATAAAACCTGTACATGAGGGGTACTGTTGTACTCGGGAGACTTCGCTGAACACAAATATTTGTGTTTCAAAACAGTAAAAAGTATCGCAGCAACAATATTGTCCGTGTAAGTGCTGTTTGTGCGTGAAAAATGCAAAAAAAATGCAAAACTTCACTTTTACTGGCGATATCATCGTTGTAATGCATTTTACTGTTTTGAAACACTAATATTTGTGTTCAGCGAAGTCTCCCGAGTAGAACAGTACCCCCCATGTACAGGTTTTATGGAGTCTTGGAAAGTTATAGGGTTAAATATAGTGCTAGCAAATTAAATTCCCTTTACTTTCGGCATGGGTTGTCAGGCAGGTCCCGCTAATTGTAATTAATTAAGATACCCAATTATGTAAAAATATTACATAAATATACAAGTAGAATTTACATATGTGTATATATATATATATATATATATATTTTGTTCTACGTGTATTTTGAGATATTAATATATATTAATATCACAATACAGAACAAAATAACACATCTATATATATTTTTTAATTATTTTTATTTTATTTGCCAACGAATTTACATATTAAATTTTTTATATTATATATATATATATATATATATAATCAATCAGTCTACGTGTAATTTGATATTAATATAATTATATATATATTAATAGTAAAATACACCTAGACGGTGTTTGTGTGTGTATATATATATATACACACACACACAAATATATATACATACTTAGAGTGAGAGTGTGAGTGTGAGTGTGAGTGTGAGTGTGTGTGTGTGTGTGTGTGTGTGTGTGTGTGTGTGTGTGTGTGTGTGTGTGTGTGTGTGTGTGTGTGTGTGTGTGTGTGTTTTATTTTTTACACTTATTTAACATTTATTTTATTTCCAGCCAGCAGGGGGACTGTCATTACAGGCAGTCCCCCTGCTGGCAATGCAGCAGGCAGCTAACCCGGTCATGTGGTTGTGAGGTCCTCGCAAGGACCTCACTCTCACATGGCCAGGTGGGCTGCAGGAGGGAAGATCTGCTGCGGGGGGGCTCTCTGGGAGTCTCCCCAACCGCGATCGCAGGCATGGGACCGGCGGCGTTTGGAGCCGCCTAAAATACGGCATAATAGTACGCCATCCGGTCTGAAGGGGTTAATGCATTTATTTCACCTGCTGGTTTTTGCTTGTTGTTGTTGGCAGGAGTTCTGGTCCTGTATCCTTCTTTGACCTAAAAAACTGCTGATGGGTTGCACCTCCTGGCAGTCACATGTTACCAGGTTATCAAAGTATTTCTGCTTCTTTCATAAAACATAAAATAACAGATCTTCGTTGGCATTAAAGTGACAGTTACTCCTGAAACAGAAGCCTTTTGTTTCCATTTTTGCTTTGTGAAGCTTTTTTTATTTTACACATAGCGCAGATTTCAATACAAATAGTTACATTTATAAATGAGCTTTTTTACACCCCCTGGCTATCAATCAAAAAACTGGTCCTATTTTTTCGTGGTTGTTTAGTTTAGTTGAGCTAAACCCAAGATGTAGGAATTGTTCAGAGCACCTGCTTTGCAGAGACTTCACAATGACCTGCATTAGGAAGTTTTTAGCTAGACAGCCACGGTCAGGCTTGGACAAGACACCGTCAAGCTGTTTTTAGATAAACCCCCCACAAAACCACAATTAAAATTTCTGTATAATTTACAGAATGCATGTTTACATTTGGGGATATATTTACTAACTGTAAAACAAAATTCCATTGGAGTTTTCCTTTAATACAAAGACAGATGAATCACAATATTCCATTCTCACAAAACATTTATTTCAATATTTTTGTAAGTAGGCCCTTTGCACGAGCATAGTGTTACACAATTTTCATACACAATCACATTCAAAACGAGTTCTAAAAGTTCAATTGTAAACATTCTCATATGTTGAAATATTAAACTTTAGCTAAAATGCTCAAGTGTGGAGCTAAACCGAAAATCAGAAACACTTTTTTAAACGGTGGTGAGAAAGCTACTTATACAGAAACGTGTTTAATCATAAAAGTACTAAAAGAGCCAAACTCACTAGGATAAAACATTAAAAGAGAAATGAATAAGTGGATTTTTGCTATAAGAAAAGTTTGCTCGAAATCTACATAAGAAATGTCATTGGGTAAATACATCTTTGTTGACAAAATAGGAGGTAGCATGGATGCACCAGTTAGTGAGAAATGCAACTGAAATAAAGAATATTTGCTTACAACAATAGTTTCCAGTACTATATACACTTTTTCAGAAATAGCGATTAAACAATTCACCCTCCACTTTTTAGTACAAAAGCCTCTGTGTAATTAAAATAAAAAAAGAAAGGAAACACATACATTTATACAGTATTATACTGATTGCCTTATTTGAATGGAACAGTCCTCTGAACTCTGCAGTACACAGTAATACTTAATGCCCTAAATTAAAAAAAAAATACATTGAAGAGTTTTTTTCTTGATATAACAAAAACATTCAGAATTTCTGCACATCCAGGGGTTTTTGGAAATATGGATATGCTAACATTTCATGATCCAATTGTATAACAGTGGGAGCTTGGTGAGAAATAAAAAACACTCATGAGCAAAGACTGTTCTACTGAACACTGTCTGAAACACATTCTAAAATATGTTCCAATTTTAAACATTTCAAGACCAAATATGGTAAGAGTTTATTTTCAGGTTGTGGCTAATCAGTATTTGTTGTCCTTTTCATTATAAACAAATGTAGCAATGACATAAAAAAAACCCACAAAAAAAAAAAAAAAAAATCAGGTCCAATGTACATCAGTTAAACTCTTGTTTTTCTTTTCACGGATTGCGTTTATGTAGCCGCTTCCCCAATTAATAAAGAATATGAAGTGTCAGTGATTGATGGGGTCTTTTTTATTAGTGGTTCCACTTCAACCATACCAGCTCCAGTCCGTGGAAGATTTGCATTAACAATGTGACGTTGCAAGTGCTTTATCCAGTCTTCTTGCACAGACAAAGGACCACGAAAGACAAGTCCACAAAACCTATTAATCAGAAAGTAAAAACATTTTAATATCTAAAGACAGCATATTCTGATTACACTGTGGGATTGAGTAAAAGGTCAATCTACGGTATGTGCAATCAGCATATACACCACCTAAGAATTTGGATTCAAGAAGCATTATTGGGAAGAGTGAAGTGACATTGGTGGGCAGATTAAGCCAGCAGAGTAAGTTTATATTAGAAACATAGAATGTGACGGCAGATAAGAACCATTCGGCTCATCTAGTCTGCCCAATTTTCTAAATACTTTCATTAGTCCCTAGCCTTATCTTATAGTTAAGATAGCCTTTTGCCTATCTCACTCATGCTTAAACTCGTTTACTGTGTTAGCCTCTACCACTTCAGCTAGAAGGCTATTCCATGCATCCACTACTCTCTCAGTAAGGTAATACTTCCTAATATTTTTAAACCTTTGCCCCTCTAATTTAAGACTATGCCCTCTTGTTGTGGTAGTTTTTCTTCTTTTAAATATAGTCTCCTCCTTTACTGTGTTGATTCCCTTTATGTATTTAAATGTTTCTACCATATCCCCCTGTCTCGTCTTTCCTCCAAGCTATACATGTTAAGTTCCTTTAACCTTTCCTGGTAAATTTTATCCTACAATCCATGAACCAGTTTGGTAGCCCTTCTCTGAACTCTATCTAATGTATCAATATCCTTCTGGAGATACTGTCTCCAGTACTGCGTACAATACTCCAAGTGAGGTCCCACCAATGTTCTGTATAATGGCATGAGCACTTTCTTTCTACTGCGAATACCTCTCCCTATACAACCAATCATTCGTCTAGCTTTTCCTGCTGCTCGGTTACATTGTCTGCTTACCTTCAAGTCATCTGAAATAATTACCCCCAAATCCATTTCCTCAGATGTTGAGGTTAGGACTCTATCAAATATTCTATACTCTGTTTTTACGCCCAAGATGCATTATCTTGCACTTATTCACATTAAATGTCAGCTGCTTCAGCTCTGACCATTTTTCTAGTTTGCCTAAATCATTTGCCATTTGGCTTATCCCTCCTGGAACATCAACACTGTTGCAAATCTAAGTATCATCCGCAGAAAGACATACCTTACCATCAAGACCTGCAATAATACTAATAAAAATATTAAAGAGAATGGGTCCAAGTACAGTTCACTGCGGTATCCCACTGGTGACAAGCCCATGCTTCAAATACAACCCTCTGCTGCCAGTCACTCAGGCACTGCGTTACCCATTGTACAATATTGGAATCCAAACTTAAAGATTGCAGTTTATTGATAAGCCTTCTATGTGCAAGAGTGTCAAAAGCCTTATAGAAATCTAGGTAAGCAATATCTACTGCACCACCCTGATCTATTATTTTAGTTACCCAATCAAAAAAATCAATACAATCAAAAGATTAGTTTGGCATGATCTCCCTGAAGTAAACCCATGTTGTCTCTGATCTTGAAATCCATGTGATTTTAGATGTTCAACAATCCTATCCTTTAACATGGTTTCCATTACTTTTCCCACTATTGAAGGCTTACTGGCCTATAGTTGCCTGACTCCTCACTATTACCTTTCTTGTGAATGGGCACAACATTCACTAACTTCCAATCTTCTGGGATTACTCCTGTTAACAATGATTGGTTAAATAAATCTGTTAATGGTTTTGCTAGTACACCACTAAGCTCTTTTAATAACTTTGGGTGTATTCCATCAGGTCCCATTGACTTATTTGTCTTTACTTTTGACAGTTGAAATAAAACCTCTTCCTCTGTAAACTCACGTGTAATAAATGACTCATTTGTCCTTTTTACCTAATTGAGGTCCCTTTCCTTCATTTTCATCTGTAAATACTGAACAAAAATATTAATTGAGGCAGTCAGCTAGACCTTTATCCTCTTCTACATACCTTCCTTCTTTTGTTTTTAATCTAACTAATCCTTGTTTTACTTTCCTTTTCTCATTTACGTATCTAAAAAATGTTTTGTCCCCTTTTTTTCCTGACAGTGCTATTTTTTCTTCTGTGTGTGATTTGGAAGTTCTTATAACGTGCTTAGCCTCTTTCTGCCTAATCTTATAGATCTATCTTCCTCACTCTTTTTTTTTTTTTTTATAATTGCTAAATGCTAACTTTTTGGGTATTTTTTTTTTTACTATTCTGCAGAGTACCACAGTGGTTTCTTAATTTTTTTTGCTTTTACCGACAAGCCTAATGCAATTTTCTGTTGCCTTCGGTAGTGCAACTTTTAAATAATTCCATTTCTCTTGTACTCCATTTAAATTGTTCCAGTCTGATAATGACTCCTTTACACATATTCTAATTTTAGAAAGGAAGAGGGAGGGAAAGCATGCAATAAGTAATGGTGTGTAGCTGCTGGTGTAAACAGAGAAGGTATTAAAGTGTAACTGCCATGGCACACACAACAAGGACTAATATTAGAGAGGATTAAAATTAATCTAAATCTTATGCAAGATTTTAACTTTAATGCTCTTTAAAACAAAAAAAGTTATACTCCCACGTGTCAATCAATCCTTGTTGTAGATCTCTCCGTGCTAACCCCTATATTTTAGGTAAATATTAGAATTAAATATTTAGCTAAAGTAAACTTGTAGAACTAAAAAAAACTGTGAATTATAAATAAATATAAGCAAAATCTGCAGAGTGACACCATTTTAAGTGTTACCATAAATTAACAGACTTGGAAAAAAAAAAAACAGGTTTCTGCTTGTGACAATGCTGCTTTAAGGTAATGATCACAAAGACAGAGATTTGGTACTAATACATTGAGGAGGGTAGCCTTGAAGTAACCCAAAGCTCATGAATTATTCAAGAAATACAGAAAATGGTAAGACTGACTGAAAATCACCCATATGAGAAGGTACTCTCTGATAGGATTCTAATGCATTAAATGTCTTAATTATGGTACCTGCATCTCAAAATGTAGACTTCATCAGCACTGTGAGGCAGCGGCAGTATCTTCTTCTTACTTCCAGATCTTGATCTTGATTTCTTTTGCTTGCAATCTAATACTAGTATACAAAGTTACAGAATCAGTTTGCTTACTTACCGAAATATCAAACAATTTATGAAATCAATTACATTTTAAATGCAAATACATATATAAGAATATCTATAAAGGGACACTAGGCACCCAAACTACTTCATCTGATTAAAGTGGTCTGGGTGCAGTGTCCTTGTCCCCTTAACACTGAAATGTAAAACTGTAATGATTGCATTGCAAGGTTAAGACTGCTTGAAGTTATAGAGGCGGCGCTTCCTGGCTTTTCATGCATAGGTTTAAAATATTTTTTTAATAAATTGTGTACAGCTAAGTTTTCTGCTGTGCAAGTAAGAACTAGTGTACTTTTAAAAGAAGCTTTATTTTGTCCAGTCACAATAAAGGCCTTTGTGACAGCAGTTTTGTCCAGAATTTTAAATAGCTCCTGAATTCAGAATAAAGTTGACTAGAATATCTACACAATAGCTCAGTTCTGCTCAAAGCAATGAGAGCACCATAGCAGATGGGAAAGGTAATGGTAGAAAAGCACATTCCTAAGGTTCAGGTTCAGCACACGCGTGTGCTTTTGCCTGTCAACTTGTATACAAGTTGATATATTTAGGAAAAGGGGAAAAAACAAGAAGTTACAGCAGTGATATAGCATGAAGTAACAAAATAATTGGTATTTTTGAGAATATTAGATGTTAAGTAACTAGTATTTTTTGGGGGGAAATTACAAAAAGAAAATGTTTTAGTTGATCTAACATCTAGATTTTTTGCAGGTCTAGCAGTAAAGTCTATAAACCTTTGCACAGAATATTCAAAAGAAGAGCCACCAGAAGAAACATTTAGAGCAGCCACAGCTCCTTGGTGAGATGTCAAGCCTCATGTGTGGATATTTAGAGGAACACTCCAAGCAACATAACCAAAGTAGCTCACTGGGGCCTGGTGCACTACACTGTAAGGAGTGAAAATGTTTTTGAACTGTTCGATTTCTTTCCAGAGGTCAGCCAGTCATTGCTCCCCGCCACCCATACTAATGCTAAGAAGACGTATGCTCCTAAGCAGGAGCTTTTGTTAGCTCTCCTGAGCTAAGCTCTGAATTGCAGGGTTTAGCTCATTGGTGGACATCATTAGTTGCAAGCTGTAGTGCTTATGGTGCCTGAAGTGTTCCTTTAATGTAATGTATATATATTATAATAAATTCCCAAACTTTATCACTGCTTCAAGTTTTATGTATGAAATTTGAGTGCTGTACCTGGGGAATAATGGCATAATGTCTTGCTTTTAAAAGACATACCTGATCCAGTCAAAAGTCCAGCACTCCTCTTCCGTGAATAAGCTCGCATATGGTTAGACAGGCTAACAGAACTTGAAAACGTTGTATTGCAATTTTCACAGGTCCTATGCTTCGCAGATATACCTAACAGTCAAAAGAAATCTAAAATCCAGTTCTCTCCTAAACACACACATTACGCATCACCTAAATCCAAACTTCGGAACATGCGAAAACTTCAGTATTACAAAACAGAGGCGGACATGTCTATATCAAGGGAACTCATCATAGAAACAAAAAAAGAAGAATATGTGCTTCTATATAATTTACATAATAGATTCAATTTAATACAATGTGCTTAAGTAAACACAAATATCAAATCCACAACTTTATTACAAGATTACACTGATTACTATACAAACGTATAACTAACTAAACATAAAAAATCATCCCCATCATCTTTGAAGATTATACGCGGATTTTGAAATTGGAGTGATTCCTTCTACATGGGCTGTTTTACACCTCTTGCGTTATGTAGACTACACATGTACATAAATAAATCTGTACAAGTTTCAGAATGCTATTTTATACAGGGAAACAACCCTTTATTGCCTTTAATGTTAACTACAGTTACACAAATATAACCAAGAATGATATACTATAAAAGTAGTTTAGTAGACTCTCAGAGCTTTCCCTGCTCATGAACAGAATTAAAGGTCTGGTTGACAAAGTGGTAATTAAAGTGTTTTACCCACAAGACTGTAAAAGGCTTCGTACTAAATTAGGTTGCTGATGAAGGCTGGGAGAAAAGGTGGTAAAAACACACCAGCAAACAGCTGTGAGACAAAACATTTTATTCAGTGCCTTTTATGTTCATTACTCTGGATGCGCAACCAATAATGAAAGTTAATGATTTGAAGTTTCTTGCAAAAATCTTTGTGCTAAGCAAATGATCAACAAACTACAGTCTTGCAAGCAAGTGGGAGAAATATATACTACACTATAAAAAAAAATTCAAATGCTTGCATCGTGTTGCTAGTTTCAAACAACAGATTTTCTACCAGTGCATCTAAAGGAGACACAATTCTGGATGATCATGATTTCAATGTAAAACATATATAAATGCTATTTATACTTGGTTATTCATGCACAATGCAAACCGAACATAATAAATACTGAAAAACCAAATGTGAAAGTATAATTACGAGCTTACCTGACTGCAAAGCAAAGTCAAAGTTTTTATGTGGATTGCATGCCAGTGAACAGTCTTCATTTAATGGAAGAAGGCATTTCTGCATAAACCGCTTTCTTGCAGTCTGATTGACCTTTTGAGGGGAAGTCTCCATATTCTTCTCATCACCAGATCTTTTCATTTTTAGAAGTTCAATTAATGAGACAGGCTGGTCCTTTTCAGACTGAACAATTCTGCCATCATAATCGTTTGGTAAACGCAGTCTTTCCTGCGATGCTTGATCAGATACTGAATTTTCTGAATTTAGGCCATTATGGTGTCCGTCTAGAGGTAAAGAATTGTTTTTTGCAGAGTCCAAACTGGAAGATTTCTGAGCTGCAAATGGCCTGTGAACAGTACGTCTGCCACTCAGTACTTTGAGGATTTGTTCATATTTCTCTTCGTTTTGCAGCATTTCATTGAGAACACAGATCGGTGACTTGTGTGCATCCCACTTGGTTTTGCCAAGTCTTTTCAGGTGACCTCGAACATGATTTGATAATCCAATTTTGGTATCAAACCAGCCTCCACAGAGTGTGCAGGTGTGTTCAGAAGGACTTTCAGATTTCTCTACCACTAGTTGAATAGTACGAAAGAAACACAGAAAAAACAAACAAAAGACGATATTAAATACATTCCCAAAGTACAATAAAGAAACCTCTACATAAAATTATCTATCATGCTTATTATTTTACATCCAGGAGAACTTTATATATCAATGAAATGCTACTGTTTCTCTCCAGTCTAAGGGCTTTGAAATAGAAAAATGTATGTAAGAGCCGCACGAACACACAATTCTGCATGGAATGCAGTTTACATTTTCCTACTTGGCAAGAGCAAGGCTTTTAAATAGACACTATTGTTTCCAGAACCACTACAGATTAATGTACTTGTTCTGGTGTCTGTATCATGTCCCATGCAGGCTGTGCAATGGAAACGCTGCCTTTTCAAAAAAAAGGGCATGGTTTACATGGCTGCCTAGTAACACCTTTAGCTGCCGTCACTCAGACGGCTACTAGAAGGGATTCCTATTTCAGTACTGCAGGATGTGCCGCACTGGCGTTCGGTGTCTCCATGTTCTGAGAACGCTCCCGATAAAGATGTAAATTGATGCGTTTCCATGTATGCGCAATAGCCTGCTGATTCTTTTTATGGAAAAGCATTGGATTGGCTAAGATCAGTAAGATTGGTGATCTCAGCCATGGTGGTGTGGACAGCCGTGGCGTGACCAACTTGGTAATGTAGAAAGGTAAATTTAAAACCTTTTAACTCCATTCTGAGGGGGGCCGGCCACTTAAACAGGCAGTCAAACATTACATTGTTAGGAATACATGTATGTATTCCCAACACTATAGTGTTCCTTTAACCTGAAAAGGGTAATTCTAAGCACCAAAAGCAATATGCATTATTGCAAGTAAATGCTGCCAAGAGCAACTTCACCCAATCAACAAGAGTGGGATGCAGTGATAATTTGCATCATAAAAAAATTTAAATAAAATGCTGCTGCAATTCCACAGTTTACATGAGTATAAACTGAAAGCAGCTGCATTAGGGCTATCAGTTTTAGCAATTCCATTCATCCTATGTGGTGACCTGATCTGCTTTTTGATAATTTATCGATCCTATACATCAGAACCATAGAGCAGAATGAGACTCTACTTATTGGAGCTTTTAATCCTGGAATGGAATGAGTTTTGACTGCAGGGAAATTATCTACACACCAAAACTGCTGCATTACTCTAGAGACTATCCCTTTTAAGTGTAAAAATTTATTTTAAAAAATAGCTTAGGACTTTTGGATATTTGCAGGTTTTCTACGGTATAACAAAGTATGTCACTCCATTTACAGTTTTGATGACAAGAATGGCAATTCTGTGCATCAAAAGCAAGTTAAAATGAAGGTACTGACCGGTACATCACTTGGATTATTGAAATGAGTCACAAACATTGCTATATTAATCTTTTTATCTAAATAAAGGGAACTACCCAATAAGAAAAATGTGCACATTGAAAGAACCAGTCATATTAATAATACTTTAGGCAATGGTCTATAATGAACGTGTTTAGTGCAAATATGCGGTCTTTCTATGGGAAAGCGTTGTGGTTGGTGGAGATCACCACTTCTGATATTAGCCAAGGAAGTAGATCAGGGGAAGAGTGCAATAAAAGGTAAGTTTTTACTATATTCAGGGTGGGGTGGGGGGGGGACAAGTACGGTTTTTAACACTAAATGGTCAGGAATACAGGTTTGTATTCCTGACCCTATAATGTTCTATTAAATTCTATCAGAAAACAAAAAATTGCCAGGGAATTTGAAATTTTAGGCTAAAACAAAAATCCAACAAAATCATAAATATAGTCCCCAACAAAACACATAAATACTTAATGAGGTGGGAGGAAAAAAAAAAAAAAGTGACATTACTGAACCTACTAGCAATTCACACATAATTACTGTATTGCACAGTTTAGACTTTGCTGGCTAACTAAATTTACAGATCAAGCAAACGATAAAATAAAAAAAATAAAAGAAGAAAAGTGAACCGTACCTTTTCTCACTCGCTTTGTTGGAGTGCCAGTTCTCTTGCTGAAATGCTGCATTTTATCACTTGTTGCAATTTGTTCTGGTGACACCACATGACGTGCTTCATAAGTTAACCCTGCTCTATGAAGATGTCCGCGAACATGATTAGATAATCCAACACCAGTCTCAAAGGTAGCAGGGCAGTAAGGGCAATTCTTCTTTTCAAGAGACAGATCACTCCAGTGGAATATAGAATTGTGGCTTGGCAATCCAGAATCAGCATTTTCCATAGGAGTAGCACCTGGATCGTGCAAAAACCTATCATCATCATCTTCGTAATACTCAAAATAAAAACCATCATTGTTATTATAATGTAAGCTGGAGTTATCACCGTTTTGGTGGTCTTTTGCCTTGTCTTTAAAAATTGGGTAAGCTGGTTGCTTTGCTGGATTACCGTAGGTGTCATCTGGTGATTCCGAATTATAATCACAAAGCTCACCATTTTCCCATGAATCATAGTCCTCCTTTTTTTCAGTGGAGTCAAGTTTTTTAAGAACAGCATAAGTCATTTTTTCAAGAAAATCGGGATAACAGTCCAAGTCTTCCTCTGTGACAGGACGTTCAAGCTCAGATTTTAGCACCCTTTTAACACCTACCCTTCTGTGATCTTTAAAACCAACATGTCTCCTTGGATGGAGATTCTGCGGACCTATATTCAGGCGATCGTTTTGGATATTGTGCTCTGCTGAAAGGACATGCAAAGTGTTGGCAGGATTATCACTTTCTTTTTTTAAATTTAGAGGGTATACATCATTGGACTTCTTGAGTGTCTTAAAGCCATCCCATTTCTGTCCATATCGGTAGGCATGACTGACCCGAGCATGTTTTTGTTTTGTCATTTGCTGAAAATATCGATGTTTTTGGTCATTGCTAGTGAAGAGAAGGGCTTTGTTTGGGGAAATTGGAGGTCCACAGACAACCGACTGAGCAGCACTTTTCCTTGCTTTTTGTATCTTGTGTTTTCTATGAAACTTTGCAAAGTTATTTTGAGTCATAGCTCCATATTGTCTTTTTATATCTTGCTTTAAGACAGAATTCTTTGGAAATGACGAGGACTGTTTTGTGAAATGTTTTGTTTCACTATCACTATCTAAAAGTTCATGATCAGAAAAGTTCTCCCTTTTAACTAAAACAGGACCATTAAACTGATCCATGGAAGATGATGGATGTACATAATCAATGTGCTTCCTTAAAACATTACGGGCAGATGTAGTAAAAGGACACATCTTACAAATATAGGTTGCAGTCTTTTTAGTTGAAAGTAAGTAAGAATTTTTCAATGCAGTCTTTTTCTGAACTTTCCTTTGGGGTAGATCTGAAGTCAGCACTGAACATTTTACCACTGCACCATGGGCAATACCTCTGTGGCACTCCAATTCATTTTCAGTAACCGCCATAAAGTTGCATTCTTCACAGCAGTAGTATCTTTTATCTTTCTCGTGGGTTTTGGCATGCTGCACAAATGTCTTTGGACAGTTAGTTCCAAAAACACATTGTGGACATTGCAGACGTGCACTTCGCCCCTCATCTTGAAGCTCTTTCAATTCACGAATCTCCTCCATCAGTTTCTGCCTTCGCTCCTGATGAATAATCATATGTTTAAGAAGTGAATTGCGGTCTCTAAATGTTCTCCCACACTCCTTACAAGCATACGGTCTTGGAACATTAAGGTGGCGAAAGTGATTATTCCCATCCAAATGATACATCATGTGCCTATGAAGATGTTTCTTCTCCCTAAAATTAACATTGCACTTTGTGCAAGGATAAAATGATGGCTCTTGATCATTAGTGCAGGTTGGTGGTGACGGAGAATCACAATTATTTTGGACATCATTAGAAAATAATGAGTTAACATGAACTGGTGATGTCTCATCAGAAAAGTCACACACTGGATTATACATATAATGTTTGATAGCTTCAATCGCTTCTTTTGGAAGGTGCTCTTCTGAGTCATCAAGAGAAGATTCAGACTTGACATTCTTCAGTACAAACTTGTGTGGCGCCATCATTTGTTCTTCATCACTCTCTTCCATCAAACCTATATTTAATAACTTTGATTTCTTTGAAATATAATTTACATCACTATATGCATCTTCAGAATAGCAGCGAGTTATTTTACTGCCATCCATCTTTCTTTTTCTCTTTTTTTCAACCTTTACCACAAAGTTCTTGTCAGGCCCATCTATAGCTTTTTCCTCATTTACACAGTTTTTCTGTGTATTCAAGTTAGCATCCTTTCCTGTTATATAATCATCTGTATCACAACTTTGAGTCTGGTTATATAAATCGTTTACAGTTAGTTTTTTCCTATCTTCACAGAAATCTGTTGGCCCTTCTAAAGTGCTATCCGTTTGGAAATTATTTCCATTAGGTGTGTCTAAGCCAACATGGGAGGAGGTAGGATGTTTAAGAATGGAATGGGTTTCTTTCTTGGCATGTGCTACATCAGGTAACAAAAATAAAACTTGCTGACTCGACATTTGTGCAGTGTTCTTTGTGGACTGTTGAAGATCATATGCCACATTCAAAGTTGAACATAAATCTTTCTGTTGACTCATGGTCTGGTCATTGTTTATAGAAGTATGGTCTGGGTTCAGGCTGGAAGTCTTAGTTACAGAGTGTGAAGCCGGTCCATTAGGTAAGGTAATGTTTTCATTAGGTGCTGTATGAGCACCCGTGTGTACAAATGGAGAGTGCTGCACTCTGCTTAAGGCTTTTACAGACTTGTCCCTTGATAAATCTTCAGATACAGTCAATGAACTATTTTTGTGAAAAGAGGTTTGGGATTCTTGTATTTTTTTAAACACAATATCGTTTTCCTTAACAGATTTCAAAATGGTTTCATCTTTGAGACATTCTTTAGCACCAGTACTTTCAGCATTCAGAAGGGTATCCGCCATATTGTTATTTTTCCCATTAAACAAATGTATTCTAAAACAAAAAGAAAAAGAACAATTCCTGAAATATATTAAACAGAGCTCTAACAATTTATGTTATAATGCCGAATGAATAATAAAAAATAAAAAAATTGTTAACTTACATCCCAACAACATAATGCATAACATTGCTTTTACTTTTATATACATATTATATATAATAATATACCTCATACTTTTTATTATTATTTTTTTTTTTCCAAGTTCCATTTTAGCTCCACTTTGTCGACATTTGGTCGGTGCAGACCAGTCCACTCCTTTCAGTAATAAGTGCTAGACTAGAATCAGAGAGCAATGCTGCCTCATTTACAGAGTACTGGAGAAAGTACTTATGTAGGGTTATTCACTAAACTAAGAATTTAACTGGAAACATAGCTCACTGTATTTTTCCCACAAAGATATTTTCACTTTTAATTTGAAATTCACTTTGATTTCTTACTTTAGTAAACAACCCTGAAAGGATCTCCACTACCAAGAGTTACAGACCCCATGCTCTGGATCACCAGGGGTTACATCACTTGGCAAGAATAAACGGCAAGCATCCCCACCAGATCACTGGGGATCTTACCCAATCCATGAAAGGTAAGCAGAAGTCGTGGGGTGGCAGAGAGATGCACAACAAACTTAAGCTTTACACTGACACACAGAATCCACATGTGCAACCTTTAGCAATGGGAAATGCTTGCACAGGTTAAAATATAAGGGGAAAGAGACTGGCATAGAAATAGTGAGAAAAAAACAAAATTGCAGGACAGAAAGATGAGAGCACAAGTCAAATTTTCAAGATCTTTTTTCAAAAAGTTTAGGTAGGTTTATTACACAATAGATTGTTCTAGATAACTTCTAAATTCTAGAGAACAATTAGATAAGTAACTAATTCCTTTCTCTTTTATCGTGGCTTAGTTATGAAAGACTTAACACCAAATATTCCATAAAGAGTGTGTGTGTGTGTATATATATATATATATATATATATATATATATATATATATATATATATATATATATATATATATATACACATACACACACATACACACACATACATACATACACACATTTTATTTTTTTAAAATAAATTCTGTTTAAGTCTATTTACAAGTAATTAAAAAAAAATTCAATTTACTTAAGAAATAAAACAGTCTGATGTACACATATAATCCTAATTAATTGTGCAAACTACACAAAGACATCCATAAAATGTTGTATGCCTGCTTGCATGTTTCAGCTACATGAATCCAGTGACAGTAAATCTAAAGATCACATAGTCCATTATAGCACCCGAAATGGTGTCAAGTAGCACCCAGTATGGTTCATTCAAAGTTTAAAAAGAAGAAAAAACAAAATATTTGTAAAAAACATTTATTAAGGTTGTGAATCTGATAAATATATATATATATATATATATATATATACACACACATACATATACACACACACACACACACACACACACACACACACACACACATAGACAAAACACAAAAACGCATATATGCATAAGCAAACCGCTGTGCCGGTCTTATAAAAAATTTTTTTACTGAACATGTATCTTTCAGTAAATGGATTACATATTCTATGTCACAACTTATTATAAACCAGAGGTAGACAAACGTATGCTGACTTCATTTGAGATTACATATTAGCGTTTCTCAACAGGAAGCAATGTTGCTAACGAAGTGGTAAATTCAGTGTTAATGAGTGGCTTCACTGTTACCACCTCAGAGGTAAAACCTTACATGCTTCATCCATCTGTTCTAGTGTTAGGGGTTGAAAGAAAGAACAGACGCTTACCATTTAAAACAAGTTCACTGTTGCCCCTGAACAGCAGGGTACTGAACTATAACTTTGGCTTTAAAAATCCACTTCTAACAGACTTATCACTAACTATATATATAATTAATTGTTCACGTCACAAAAATACACACAATGATAGACTTTTAAAGTTGTTAAACATAATAAGCAAACGCAAAGTAATCGGAACTGAATTATGAATGTATTGTGTGCGAATTTACATCACAGGTGAAATTTAAAGTGTATGTGTGCACGTATAGACATACACTAAAAACACTTTTGTATTCCAAAATATGTATTTAAATTACAGATTTCACAGTGCCTCTAGCTTTTAAAAACCATCAGGCTAACACTTTCAATTTATATTCAAAAAACTATTCTTATTACTTACTATAATTTACATTATTATTTTTTTCCCAGTAAACTTTTACATGGTAAGTGTCTGGTCAATTTGTGCTACAATACTGCCACTTTACGAAATGGGGCAATCAAAAGTATGATAATTTACAACACAACATTGCATATGGTAGTTTAATTCACAAGAAAAGCTGACAAACTAAGCATTTAAAAAGAAAGCAACAAAGGTCAAAGCTTTCATCAAAATGACAGAT